GGGTTTAAGTGTTGAGGATTCCGGGGTTGGTGTAGAGATTCAAACTTTAGGCTTCGGGGTGGGGGCTTTAGAGTTTGGGGTTTAGGCCACAGGGTCTTGGCGTTTCAGGTTTGGGGGTGTGGGCTTAGAGTTCAGCGATTTAGGGTTCAGAGGTTTTTGGCGTTTTTGTTTAAGGCCGAGTTGAAAGGCATTCATTGCACCGTGTGACGAGCCTTTCAACTTCCCTCTAGGGACGACAAGGCCTCGTGAGATGTGCGTGGGATGGCACCAGCCGGATTTTGGTTCAGAACCCCGTTGAGACATGGAAGCAATTCAGGGCTGTGCCTTTCGAAAAGTACCGGAATAAAGTGAAAGCATTGAACGGGGGCTTGGGGGTTTAGGAATTTGGGATTTAGGGCTTTCTGGACTGCCAGATTGACATCTCATACCGCAGGAGCGAACTCCATGCTTGCAAGGTGCTTCTGGATAGCCAGAGAGCCCAGTACCCCTTAAATAAGGAATATACCCTAAATGATATAGAGGCCTTATTCATATTATGATTTCAGGGTATATCCCTTAATTAAGGGGTATTGGGCTCTCTGGGTAGCTCTCTGAGTTTGTATGCGTGTTAACCTGTTAGCCTGAGAAGCCCGAGAGTCTGAATCTTAACGGTTTAGGGTTTATAGGGTTTATAGGGTTTATAGGGGTTTAGGGTTTATAGGGTTTTTAGGGGTTATAGGGTTTGTTGGGTTTATAGGGTTTATAGGGTGTATAGGGTTTATAGGGTTTATAGGGTTTAGGGGCTTAAAGCACTCCAACGTAAGTAAGGTCACGTTTGGGGCGGTCTGTTTCACAGGGACATGTAGCACACAAGGACACACGCACCCTAGAGGGGGCGCCCCAGGTCAGAACAATGCAGAAATGATGACAAAACTCTAAACCCCTAAACCACTAAACCACTATACCCTAAACCCTAAACTTCCATGCAGCTGAGTATCAAGGCGGAATCTCTCCACCATTCCTTTCGCTCTCCTAGACTCGACAGGGCTGAGGCTTTTGAGGGAAATAGGATTAAGGTTTAGGGTTTAGGGGTTTAGGGGTTTAGGGTTTATAGGTCTTTCACGTGCAGGGTCCAAAGGGCCTCTGAAACATGAAGCGGAGGACCGAGAAAGACGGTGCTACGGTCTGGGGCCAGGGTTCACGGAACTTTGGTCTATAGGGCGCGGCTCACCCATACGTCCTTCAGGTCAGACGTGTACCGTATACCTTCGTCTGTTTCTACTGAACGGTTTTGATTGGGAGCTTTAGAACCGACTAGGAGAACATGAGTACGGCTTGACGACCCAGACATTCCCAGTGACAAAAGGCCGGACACGTAGATCTGGAATTCGCAGCAGCATCATGTAAATCAGCACGACGGCTCTAGCTCTATATAGCTTCGCTGTGAGGTCCGATCACAAACCCCTAAACTCCACACATCTAAAGCCTATTTTAAAGGGGCCTTGATATTTGGAGGATCCCGCTTTGCCATTCTGCTCCCTCCTGGAATCGAAAAATGGTGCCAACAAGACGGAGTCTAACCACCTCAAGGCGAGTTGCATAGACAGCTTAGGCCTTCGGCTCTACAAAGGTTGATAGAGTTTACGGTATATAGTAGAGCTTAGGGCTTCTATGGTTCAGGGTGTATAGGGTTTAGGGCTTATAACTAGGGTTTAGGATTTGGGGTTTAAGACGAACTAAGGGTTGCGGATGTATGCTCTCCCATGTTTAAGCAAGGTGAAGGATCCACTGTGTGGGGATGAAGTCTTGGCTTCGGGTCTCTCGGTGCGTGGCAGCGTTTTTTAAACATTTTTGCTAGCTACCTTTAGAGAGAGTAGATGCCGAAACAGCATGCCAGCGATCAGGGTGGAATAGGGTTTAGGTTCATAAAGTGAATTCGCATATCGATTCCGGTCTGTCTGCATTTCGCTTGCGATCCCTCAGCCTTGCACGTCCTAGACCCTAAACCTGTAAGAAACACATCAGATGACAACCTCACATTGACGTGGAAGGGCATACATCATCCATTCTGTTTGGCCGGCTTACACTAAACTACCCTAAACCCTAAACCCTACACCCTAAACCGTCACCAAACCCGATAAGAACTACACGGATCTGGCCCGCAGCCTGAAAATCAAGACGCTTTGACCCCTGGCCCATGCAGCTGAATTAGGGCTTAGGGTTTAGGGTTTGGGGTTTAGGGACCAACAGAACCAAGGCAAACCCGATCCTGAATTCAGGATTCAGTTTAGCATGTGGGTCGTTTCTCTAAGTCACGGTCCCTTTAGGGTCCTCTTTACAAGGGTGCCGTACTATTTTGGAGATCTTACAAAGGGACCCTGATGTAGAGAACTACCCATGCATAGGCCTTATAACCCCGAAATCCAGAGTCCTACAGCCTCCAGCTTAAACATGGCCGCTACGGATAAATCAACGGGCCCCCATAATTGCCAGTGCTATTTTGGGAGTTCCTTTGTTAAAGGACGAGTATGGTATAGTATACCCCAGAACCCTATTCTAGCTCGTGAGGGCGCTACATTATAAGGTTTCGGAACTGCAACAGCACTTGCTGCTGGTGTGTTGCCAAGAGCGCGTCGAGCTTCTCCTTGCTATGACCGCGCCAAATCACTTTCAGTCCTCGTTGGCTTGGGATGTCTAGAATCCCTAAACCCTAATCCCTAAAACCTTCACCCTAAACCCTACACCCTAAACCCTAATCCCTAATCCATAAACCCTACACCCTAAACTAGAATTTGGGCACCGCGTGGCTTCAAGAACCGTGCTTAAGGCCTAAGCCTCTGGGTGCCACCCAGAAAAAAATTCTTGCAAGTGCTTGGGATTGGTAGGCTTTAGGGTTGAGGGTTTAGGGGTTTACGGAGCCAAGAACTGAAATCCGGAGGGAGGAATTTGGGGCGTTTGGAAACGAGGGTCTTGTGGTTCAGGACTTGCTTGTCGAATACATTACACTTGTATACACAAAGTAAACAAAAGGACAACCCTAAGCCCGAATCCCTGAAACGCTAAACCCCTAGAAACTCTAAACCCCTAAACCATCAACCCAGATTTCGCATGGGCAGGAACGAAGATGATTCTCAGCAACTCTCCGGCAGTACGAGGCACTCAGGGCGGACGTCCGAGTGAAAAAGTGCGGCTTCTACCAGCCTACTGCTATGGTAATCCCCGAATATAGGGACGAAAAGATACGCGTAAACAAGAACCACAAGGTTGGGACAGCCCATAACCCCTCTTTAAATAGGCCAGCAAGGTAAGGACATCCCACCCAAAAGCTTCTGCTGAGGTGCTTTTTTTGGTTCCTGATTAGAGTCCCTGCATAATCACGCTGGGCCGGGGCCTTGTGAGGCGACCTCCTCTGGGAGGCAGCTGGAGGCGTGTTCGCCGAAGAGCCGACCCAAAGACAAGAGATAACTTTCAGGGTTTAGGGATTTAGGGGTTAGGGTTTAGGGTTAGGGCTTAGGGATTGGGGTTTAGGGTTTCTGATTGGAGCTTGGTCTTTGGGAATCTAAGGGTTGCAAACGGAGTTTGAGAAGATAAGAACTCACTTTGCCTCGAAAGTTTAGTGTTTCGGGCTTGGCTTCACAGGCAGGCTTGATAAACATCCAGAAAGCAAAGCGCGCTTTAGCTTGAGACAAACTCACGCCGTAACAGTAAAGCTATCTATCTACATCTTGTACAATCGGCATAGGCTCAGGGCCTCAGAGATTCAGGGGTTCAGGGTTTGGTAGGTGCAGGATACGGCGCATGGTGTCGGGCGTTCGGGCATGCCCTTACACCTGAAACCTCAAATGTCCTAAACCCTAAAACCCTGACCCGCCAGGTACCTACTATATAGGGTACTAGAGCCCCTAGGGCCTTATATAGTAGGTACCTGGGAGATGAGGGAAATACACTCAAGCTTTCCAGGTTCATTGCAGTTGAACACAGAAATCCGCCTGGTCGGGCTTAGGGCTTCGGATCTTAATTCGCACTATTGTCTCTGTAGTCCCGACATAATGACAATATGGTATACCCTCCAGCACCTTATTCTAATCCTCTAGGCCCCTTTCTTGGGATCTGGGGTGCTTTTGTGCAAATAAACCAGTTAGGGACAACTCTCTTCCCAACGAACCTCAACCCTAATACTAGGGCCGTAGTGATACGCATAGCGATCCTTTCAAGGGGTCCTTCTTGGATTCTATAGGGGATCGATAGACAGGGTTTTACAGCTTAGGGGCGTTGACGATTAGAATAGATTAGGGGTAGTATGCGCTACCTAGAAACTATAGTGAGGAACTGTAAGGAAGAAAAGTTAACTTCTCCAGACCATTATTTCATGTCGAACCAGACCCCAGCTTAATGACCGGCAATTTTCGAAGGCATGTTCCAAGCGGAAAGTTTTCATGAGTTTTCAGTCCGCTTCGGCGCTGCATGCGGAGGCTCAGCCATAATTCGCTCCTGGCCTATCAACCCGGAACCTTGAATTAAAACCAAAACCCTTGTCAACCATAAACGGTCTCAGCCCCACGCCCTAGATAGCCCCAAACGCTGAACCCCAAACCGGGGTGCCCAGGAGCTCCGGTGCTGGGGTGACTGATTTAGGGTCCGGATAATGTGTCAAGCTTCTGGGCTTTCGGATATAAGGTTCCGGCGTCTAGGCTACAGGGCTGAAGGTTTAAACTCAAAACCCTGAGCCTCATTAGAGTTTATAGTTTATAGCTTTTCTAGCTTCTGCATGAGCCTCTGGATAGCTTGCACGAGCGTGACTGCGGCGAGGAACTTCGTTCCGATGCAGATAAATGTGAAATGTGCAGTAACCACAAAACCTAGAGCCATATGGGGACTATAAACGGACAGGCTATCACAAGTTATCATCATGATACATCACCAAATCGGCTACATCTTCGGCCTCCGCGTGCCTGAGATTCTGCATCGAGTGTGATAGCCGAATATCTTGGCTGTCGTCGCATAAAGTGAAACGACTAACGTCAAACGCGCCAACAGAACTTCCAGCAACCGAAAGCAAAAACAAGCGCTACAAGGACCCATACGAGCACTGTTGTCAAACTCTGGGCACTCACGATGACGGTGCAGAAGCCACCAGCCACGAAGAGAATGGAAGAAAGCACGAATACAATCGTAAACTCAAGCGAGTAGGGCATCATCCTGCGACCGCACACTCGCAAGCCACGCTTGGTCATGTAGGCCCCAAAATTTGCGACAGCAGGAAGCCAAAGCACATCGAGGCCAAGCACATGCGCCAAGAAGAATCCCAAGATCGACTGCCAGGGAGCGCCAGCCTTCGATAGTGCCAGCAGACCTTCCAGCGAAAGGCAGAAAATCGGGAGTGTAGCGATGTAGATGTACTGGGGTGACAGGCTCCCCTGCGTACGCAGTAATTCAGTGACTTCCAAGCGGAATGGCCCCCGGATGTGATTTGAAAAAGCATCCAAACTTCCATACCACGAGATGATGGCTTCATGGATGCTCTGCTTGTCGAACTCGCTCGAGCATTCGACCTTTGTCACATCGAAGCCTGGGCTGCTAATGTAGCAGCAGTGCAACAAGCTGGGTTCTTGTTAAGAAGTTTCGTTCAAGCTACCATAGTAGCGATCTTTAGTAAACCTTGCGGCTTACTTAAATTACATCCCTTAACAAGAAACCCGCAAGGGATGACATGTCACATCGAAATCTGCGTCATTGCTGGGGTACATAGCGGGACAAGTCACATGCATATCTCAAACCAGAAACTTTACAGCAGCTTCGTTGTTGCGCGCTCATGGATTAGAAACCGATGTACTTAGGGTAGATGTGCTGTACCGTGACCACTTCAACACCAGTGCAAACATGCTCAAACCTCACAAAAAACATGCAGAGGTGTCCGCAAAAACCAAGAAACTGCTCAGCTGAGCCTGTAACAGCTTGTCTGCCCGGTGCTTCGTCCTGCCTGCATGAAACAATGTAGGAAACAGCAGCAAGAACGAGCCGACCAACAACATCAGAAATCGCAGTGGATCTCCACCATTGGGCCCGGTCCGCACCGCGAGAAAAGCAGCAGATGCCAGCTGCACCCACAGAAACATCAAGTACACAGTTGCCTCACCTGGGTTCTAGCTGAAGGGCCACCGCAAATATCGATCCGATCTATACTGAACAGTTACCTTCGGCAAGCCTTGCAAGAAACATGAGTCAACAAAAATATCTCATACTGCCGTCTGTCGCTCAGCAATGGTGAGATGATGATCTGGCCCTGCGGGTTCAGTTTGCGGAATGCTGCCAACTCAAAGACGCACCACAACCTTGGATTGATCCGGATGGATGAAGTGGGTCAGCTTAAACCTCAAACTAGCCCGAAACCCCTACCCCCACCCCCCCCACCCCCTCCCCCCGCGCCGCTGACAAATCCCAACTTGCCAGAAAACACCCTAAACCGCCTTAAACCCAAACTTGTTCTAATGTCAAGCCTGGAAAGCCTCTTGAGGTATGGTGCACTCCACAGCACACGCAGCTCTTTGGACGATGCCAAAAAGGCTCCAATGGATCTGATGCCTTGCCTTGGCATAAGGTTCAAGGACTCTTTCGCAAGCTTTTGAAACCCCCTGCAGGTGGAATTCTTGGGAGCTCTCAGTCTACAGCGCCTTACGTTCGGCCGAAGTAGGCACAATTATCACCAAAATTTGCATCAAGCAAGCTTGCGGATAGAAAGAAAGCCAAAAGAGACCTTCCGCTCCCCCTCCTCACCCCCGCATATTCACAGGCTGTGCAGGATCGCCAAGCTGCTGCATTCTGGCTGTGTCTGTCTGGTCCACGCAGACGTAATCCAAGAAACACATGTCGGAGCTGCGATGTGGAAGATACGGGTACAAGAGCAGCCCTCCAATTGCCTAGGTTGGCCCTCAGACCGGCGAAGCATAGAAGATGTTAGGAATCCAGATTCTCTAAAACAAACCCTAAACCCTAAACCCTAAATCCTAATCTTATGAGGGAAACTATCTAAACTATGCAATCGTCAGGCCTAGATTCTGTGGGAACTGACACGGTCGAGACCCAGAAGCCGTAGGGAATCGTGCCATCGAAGCCTGGGCTCTTGTTAGGGATGTAATTTAAGCTACCATATTAAAAAAACACACTATTTTCTATAGATCCATATCATGGTAACTCAAACTGAACTCCTTAACAAGAACCCAGAAGCCAACGGCATGGGCTTCCCAAACAGTTGTTTGCGGCAGCACATCGAGCAGAACGAGCGCGAATGCCACGGCTACCCCAAGCACCCAAGAAATCAAGAAGGCATGCCAGCCTGTGTGCATCATCAGCGCAAGGAGCTTCCATCCTCCCGATGTGTGCCATGTGTGCGATAAGAACTTATCATATCTCGATGTCTGCCTCGAAGCAGTGTACAACTTCAACCTTTGTGGCTTGGTCAAGGCAGATGGGTCGCACAACCAGAGACTGCCTCCTTGCCGAAGTGTTTTGCGCAGGGAGATCCCTCGCATCAGACTGCTGTCTGTGATATCGATTCCTGTAAGGTCTGTCAGCTTCGAGCTGATCCTCTCAGCTGGCAAATCCGAGGTAGATCTGTGGTGTGAGGGGTGTGAGCATGCTTCATCATGCCCTGACATTGTGTCGTGGTCCTCAAATGAGGGGTGGATGTAGTACTCCTCTGACTTCGCAAAATCCGGCGGCTTGGCCGCATACTGATGAGATTCATTGCTGAACACCGCTTCACATGCAGAATCGCTCGACGATTTGCAGCATTTTCCGGCGAGGTTCGCTTCGAGCTCTTCCTTCCCAGCCTCTGCGTGACAGCAGGTCTGTAGAGCTGAAAAGTGTTGTGCCATGGCCATGTCGCCCCCCTTTTTGCTGGGCTTTGTCCGCAAGGAGGGCTCGGGCCCTGCAGCAGTCCACCGTGGAAACATATGAAAAAAGGCCGGCAATGTAGGGGCCCAAAAAAACTACCAATACTGTTTCAATACTGTTTTGGGGGCTTCCTTACCATAATTATCGTAGAATGGGCCCCAAACTCCTATTCTACTTATTCTTCGATCCCTGCCGCGCAACGCCGAGGTTCAGCTGTCTACCTGGACCTCAAAAGGATGTAGAATCATAGCCTTTAAGACTTAAGAGGTTTTCGGCCATTATTTTACCGATCTTTGGGGGGTTTATGTACAGATCATGTGCATTGCTTCGACTCCTGCAGTGCGCCTGGCAAAAACTCGCTCAACCTCGCCGTCCTTCGCACAGGTCTGGGGTTGAACATTCCAAACCATCCCGGGATGGGCACTACCTGCAGTCTCCATTGCAGTTCCTTTGTTTGATTTTACCAATTTATATATATATATATTAAGGATCCTAAAAGGTAACCCCAAAAAGGAACTACAATGGAGACTATAGGTCAGGTAGTACCCAAGATAATAAGAAAAATGCTGTTCTCCTAAAGCCAGATACCGAAGTGCAGGCAACTTGGACTTCGAAGGCGTCGGGTTTAAACCGTGCAGGACAGGGAAGAAAAGCTTCAGAGCTTCTTTGGGCTTAGTGGGGATCGAGGTGGGTTATGCCTAAACCGTAACCCCAAACCCTACACGCTAAACCCAAAGCCCCAAGCCCTACAAGCCCCAAGCCCTAAACCGCAACCCCCCCCCCCATTTTTTGGAACCTTAGGGCTCTTTCTAGAAGCACAGGGAGCCACCAAAAAACAAACCCCTAAACCCGTAAGCCTAATCCCCAAACTCCACAACCCTAAAACCCTAAACCCGTTTTAAGCAGGAGGCGTAGGAACAGAGCCACTGCGGAGTCCTCGGGATCCTCGGACTTTCCGGGCACTTCGACGGGCTCTCCCCACATCCTCGGAGACTGAGGGTTCCGAGGGCTCAGGGGTTTAGGGTCTATGGTTTAGGGTATGTAAGGGTTTGAAGTATATAGGGTTTAGGGTATAGGGTTTATTTAGGGTTCTTGCAGCTTGCTTTTGTTCAGGGGCTGTTGGGTTGTAGGGTAAGTCACACCTAAGTAGATACTAAATGGCTACTTGGACATGCGTTCGGGAAAGTTTTGTCTCGTGGTGGCCCGAAGATGGTTTTCCACTTTGCAAAGGCTTGTGTGATGAAGGTGTGGGACGTGTGTAGTGTAGAATGAAACGTTTGTGGGCCTGTGTATCTGTACTACACCTTTCTATATCTGTATGTCTTTATGTATACGTAATTATATGTATAGGTTGATGTATGTATGTATGTATGTAGGTAGGTAGGTAGGTAGGTAGGTAGTTAGGTAGGTAGGTGGGTAGGTAGGTAAGGTAGGTAAGTAGGTAGGTAGGTAGGTAGGTAAGTAGGTAGGTAGGTAGGTAGGTAGGTAGGCAGGTAGGTAGGTAGGTAGGTAGGTATGTAACTTGGTAAATAGGTAGGTAGGTAGGTAGGTAGGTAGGTAGGTAGGTAGGTAGGTAGGTCGGTACGTCGGTAGGTACGTAGGTAGGTAGGTAGGTAGGTAGGTAGGTAGGTAGGTAGGTAGGTGGGTAGGTAGGTAGGTGGGTAGGTAGGTCCACACGCTGGCATTAGGCTGCGCGCTTTCCTGCAGGTTTTGCGGTTGCGTGCTGCGACAGGACTTTGCTTTGCTTTGGGGAGGGGT